GGGCGGCCTATAAATAAACGCAACTCAACTCAACTCAACACACCATGTGGCCCAGGAAAGAAAAGGCCTGCCCTGCTTCCCTAATGTAATTCCAGAAAGCTCTACATTAGTCCTCTCCGGAACTTCTGTTAAAGAAACAGATCAGGCCTTTTCTTTCCTGGGCCACATGGCATGATCCTGAAGTAGCCACCATTTTCAGACTGATTACAATTCAATGCAGCTGCCCAGAAAAAAGTGGCCACCATGTAGCCCAGGAATGAAGCAGCTTTCCTTCCTTCTCTAACCCAAGCTCTGGAGATCTTTGAAAGGTAAGTGAGGTAGGATCACAAAAGGAAAGCACATTATATCCATTTTTTATATATAAAAAAAATTCTAGGTATTTGGATTTGAGAGGTTGCTCTAAAAGTCCAGAATAATTCTTGGAAGTATCAGTAATTGATATTTTTATTCAAAATATTGCTTTCTCCTTTCACCTTCCTTTTTTCTTCTTCTAAGGACAACCTTAGTAGCATCCCATCAGTAGTTATAGAGCCTGCCTCAAACAATGAAGATGGAGACTATCATGAAATACAAGTAACTGAATCTAAAGATTCTATGGAAGAAGTTGCTAATCAGAAAACTGAAGTACCCACTGTTGAATCTTCGGATGATATAAGTGATCCAACAAATGTAATAGAAGTACAGCCCGCATCTTCTGAGAAGCAGCCTGCAGCAACAGATGACATGCCTCCCGGCTTCCTCTATAAGGTTTATTTCAGGATTTATTAGTAGTATAACCAATATCTCTCAAACTTGGCAACTTTAAGATGGGTGGATTTCAATTCTCAGAACTCTCCAGCCAACATGAGCTGAGGAATTCTTGGAGTTGAAGGCCATCCACCTTGAACTTGGCAAGGTTGGGGAATACTTGCATAGCCTCAAAATGTAGCCAACAAAAGGTTGAAATAAGTCTTGTTTTTCAAGTTTTGTCACACATGAAGATGTATAGATCATGTTGCCAAAAAACATTAAAAGGACATATATGGAGACATATCAACATCCACTCTTGGTTGCTTAGAATGTGTCCAATCTATGGAACATTCTTTGTTTCAGGAGCAAAAAGAAACAAAAGAAATGTTTTACTTAGTCACTACAGTAGATATACTGTGCCTTGTAACATTAGATAAAGTAAAATATCTATAAATATATAATTAGTCCATAGACACTTATTTCTGTTCTTAGGTTGAAGCTCTGCATGATTTTGAGGCGGCCAACAGTGATGAACTGACATTGGAAAGAGGCGATATTGTATTGGTAATCCCATCAGCAGCAGAAGCAGATCAGGTAACAGCAGATGGGATTTTCTTATATTAAGTTTTTAAATAAATTTGCTTTTTACTGAAAAGTGAAATGCTCACAGGAATATTTTTTATTCATAGGAGAAAATATTTTAGAAGGGCTTCGTAATGAAAAAATAAAGTATGCTAAAATTACTACAGGCCATATTGTAAAAGCTGATTATTTTCACTCATAATGTAGATGGAGGAACATTGCTAACCTTTGCTCTTTTTAAAAAGATATAGACTTTCATAGACAATACATATGAGCAGTTCTTATGGAAATATAATTAGAAAACTAAAGTTTTCTTTTCCTTTCAGGAAGCAGGTTGGTTAACAGGCATTAAGGAAAGCAATTGGCTTCAATATAAAGATGCATCCACATACAAGGGACTGTTCCCTGAAAACTTCACCTGTCGTTTCGAATAATTCCCAGCTCCAGATGCAACATCCTCATAGGAAGCTCAGTTTGAACATCTCCAACATATAGAAGTCCATAGTTGAGCCATCACTTCTGACAAAATTCAGCTGAAGCACATCAAATGAGCATGATTGCAAGAAATTAAAAGCTAGCATATTCTGAAACAGTATGGGGCGGGGAAGTACTTATTTGTTCACATATATATGGCAACAGGTTTGTTTGTACTTTGTCAGAGCTATGGTGATCCTGTAACTTGACCTTTCCCCATGCAAATGAGTAGGCTCCTCAATACCAAACCTTAACTTTTCTGTACTAACTGTATTGAATTGAGTTGCTGCACTGCAGAAGACTTAATTAGTAATCCTGTAGTACTGAAATCAAAGTATTCTATTTTCAATGTATTTGGGGGGGAAATCTGCCGCAAAAAAAATCCATGTTATTTTCTTCTATATGTATGTACATATACAGAGATACCTGCGTGTTGTATGCATACATAGCACATAAAAATTCTAAGAAACTAACCTGCAGCACAAGTTATTGATGACATTAAATAGCAAACATTTGACATGAAATCAGGAAAAACTGGAGAACATGTGTAATTGTTAAACTTAGGAAACTAATAGAGAGTTATTACAGAGGAAGGGTAATATGCATTAGAATCACTGTTATCCCCTTTGAAGGTTGGCTATCAACTGATTTTATGCATTAGCAAATATCTATTATAGTCATTATTTAATGTAGAACCATTCAAACATTTGCTCTTATTATCAGGTATCAATAGAGAATTCTGTTGCAAAAGAAAACTAGCTACATCATTACCAAAATATTGAGTAGTAAACTATGCATTTGTAATGCAAAATTATCATTTCAAGCATTATAAAAAAGCTACCAAACTCATTTTCAAAGCAGTTGAAACACAAGTGAAGGCATGGCTCGTTCACCTCTACATTATCTATCTACTATAGATAAGGATGAAATTATTCTGGCAAGCAAACTATAGTGGTAGATTTTGCATTTTTAAAATGTCTGGATGAATAAATACATTTCAGAATTAAGTGAAGATTAATTAAGGCAACATATTTTCACAGTATGCATTTATCCAACATATATTCAACCATCCTCCAAATTATATAGTGTATATCAAAAAGATATCTGTAACTATTGTTTTTCAGTGTTGTGTCATTTTAAATAAATCTATGATCAACTCCATAAGCTCAATTTTTATATATGCTCTTGTACATATATTATCACAGCATTTTTTAAATTCTATCACACATCTTATTGGCCTTAAAACTAAATTACTGCTCTTCACCCTACATGGTTCATTGTATCAAAGCGCTAAATCTATGGTTTAGCAAGAATGATGTGTTAGCCCAGATGAACATATGATGCTCAGTAGCTTGCAACACTATCACTTCTACAGTTTGTCCATTTATCAGGCCTCACTGAAATTATTTTTTACCTAAGGTCTATTTCATTACATTAATAAACTGGGTGTGTAAACACCCCAAAATTTAACTAACTACTGTATGTATTGAAAGGCCAAGAGAGGAAATCAATACTAAACACAGTACCTTAGTATAAACTGCTTTGAAACTCATTGAATTTGCTACTCAAAGCATTTTGATGTGAAAACTTTGTCCCAGTATTTATTGTTTGGTACTCAGCGCATAAGCTGGACTTGTCAGTATCGAATGCCTTGTGATTCATTACATTATTCCTTATGGGAAAAAATATTTAGTATTCATCACTTTTGGTACTCATTGTGCCTCGCCGAATCAATTGAGGTTGGGTACTGGGGTATCACTGTAATTGAGAATTGGATTACAATTAACATACAAAGCTTTATTTTATGCCTGGACTGGAGACATTTATTCTGAGAAGTTCCTACTGGAGGACTAACAGAAGCAGTTTATTTGAAGTATAAGTACCAATTTTCATAAAAGTCAATTCAAGGTATATGGCTTTTACTGTCCATTTTAACAATTAAAAATGTAATACTTAGGGAAATTTCCACACAAAGCTTGAAATAATATTGCAAAGCCATGCAAGTTGGTCATAACCTAAGAAGTGCTGAATAACTTCCTATTCCAAGCAGAAATGATCCATCCAATATATTCAGCCAGTTGATGGGTATTTCTTTGTCATTCCTTTATGTTCCATTGTCATTATTTACTTTATGGTTCTATTATTTCTATTTATGCACCTTTCATTTATATTTCTATTTATTACTGTAAGACACATAGAGTAGCCCCACAGCAAGTTAGGGAAAATTTAATTTAACAAATTAGCAAATAAATTTAAAGTTCCACTGCTAAATGAGACCAGAATAAGACAAGCAAAGGCATGTTATCTCCCAATATAAGCTCCTGTTTTAAAAATTTTCTTTTGGAAGATCTTGAAAATTCTTTGTAAAGCTTTCAACTGTTGAGAAATAGGGTTGCTAGATTTAGGTGAAGTGGGACTATTGTTTCTATTTTACAAACTGCCAAGAGATAGTTATCAACTTACAATAGTTTGTTTAGCGACAGTTCAAAAGTACAACAGCACTGAAAAAAGTGACTTCCAACCATTTTTCACGCTTATGACAGTTGCAGCATCCCATGGTTATATCATCAAAATTTAGATATGAGGCAACTGACTCATATTTAGTTGCAGTGTCCTGGGGAGGGGGGGTGTCATGTGATTATGTTCTGATAAGCAGTGTCAATGGGGAAGCCAGAGTCACTTAAACATGTTACAATGGTTAACAACTGCAATGATTCACTTAATAACTGCAAAAAAGGTTATAAAATTGGGCAAAACTCACCTAACAAATGTCTCATTTAGCAACATAAATTTTGATCTTAATTGTGGTCATAATTCGAGGACAACCTCTATTCCAAAGTCATTGGTATAAAAACATTGTTAATAATTAACTTGGAAATTACAGGTTGAGAATCAGTTTGATATAGTGATCAAGGTATCTGGGTAGAAACTAAGGGTCCATAAATTCTAGTCCTACATTAGACACAAAGTTGGATAGATTAGATTAACAGATAACAGATTAACAGAGTTGGAAGGGATCTTGTAGGTTATCTAATCCAACCCCACACCCAAGCAGGAGACCCTACATCATTTCCAAATGTTGGCAGATTTTTTTTAAATTATAGTTTCCAGTATCTTCCTGGGTATTGATGTTAGGCTGATTGGTCTGTACTTTTCTGGATCTGGGTTTTGTTTTGTTTTTTGAAGATGGAAACCACCTCAGGGTCCAAAGTGTGACTGCAGGGGATAGGGGGCATCCATCGGAACTTTGAATCAAGGTCGTAAATACCTCCAGGTAGGTTCATTAGGACTTCAAGGACTACCTCACAACATTGAGAATTTACAAAGAAATCTATGATATCGCTTTTTATTAATGTGTTTCTTTAATACACAAATGTGTACTTCATTTAAAAAAAGATGTATTGTTAAAATTAAAGTTAATGCAAAAATTATAACAAATCTAAATCCTTATTAGCTGACCACTATACAGACTACTGATTTAATTCCCCCACATCTCAGAAGACCAGATGTATTTCAAACCTAAATTAATACATTATAACAAGTATTTCTTCATATAAGGTATGATTTAATCACACACATAAACACACATACAGAAATATGTATGTATGCATGTGTGTCTGTGTGTTCTGTCTGCACATATATGTAGATGTATGAAGATGCAAAACAGGTTTGATGAGGTATTATAGAGCAGGGAGATAAATTCCTTTGATTAATAATTAAATTAACGATGCCATTAGGAGTTTCAACAATAAGTGAACTGCCAGCATCACCATAATAGTTCTATGAGTGGGAATCTTCAAGCCATTCCAGTCAAGTTTTCACTCTGAAAAAGGAAACAAAATATGCAATATTACAATTAGCATATCCTTACATACAGGATTTAGCATTAAAGGAAAAGGATTTTAACTTAAATCTCCCCAATTCTCTCTGTGCCTAAGATTGTTTCTTTGTGTGCAGCAATCAATCATACGAACCTTCTAAAGTTGAAATATAGTCGGCTTCCGGGTGGTGACGTCACTGTGCCTAGAGCGGGGTAAGAGAGCTCCTCTAACCCCTAACTCTAATTTCTTTGTGTGGGCTCATTTTGGAGCACTGCTGATCCCAAAGAGACCAGCAGATCAAAGGGGATATTCTGCAGACGCCGGGGTGGTAAGGCAAATCCCCCGGCAGATAGGAG